ACTCAGGAATTACTCCTGGCGGTGCTCGGGGGACCATATAAAATCTGGGACTCGAACCCGGGTTGGCTGCATGTTAGGCAAACACCCTATCTGCTATGGTATCACAAGTGCTGTGACTTTGAATTCAGCAGTTTGTTAACTACTACTCTTCCAGCATTTTGAAGAGCTTCAGAAATACTCAATTACCTGATTGATAGCTCTTCATGTGGGTAGCCGGGGAGGGGATAGCTAGAGTGATTTTATGTCCCCACAATGACTTTTACTATGAAGCTGAGTAAGATGAGAGCATTTGGAAGCTTTCTGTTCCCTCCATCCACTCTCCACGCTCTGTGGCCCGAAGAGGCCATCCTCTCTGAACTGCATATTCCAATCACCTTTGCCCCCTTGGCTTTGGTTTAGTTTGGGATCATGCAAGAGTTGAACTCAAATAAAAAGCAATCAGTTATTTCACCAACAGAACTGGCTTATCAGAAATAACCACAGAGTAAGTATATGCTTGGTCACCCCAAGTACCCAGCGAAGTATTTCATGTTTTCAATGACACTTCCTTTTCAGCTCCCACTTACCGAACCTTGAAGGAGACCATATTCCCACAAGTGCCCCACGAACTCGGAACCTGTAGCTTTGCGACAGGGGCTTTGAGCTGTCTCTAAAGTACCCAGTGGCATGTCCCTTAACAGAACACCACCAAGCTCAAGAATGCTATTTTGCTGCATGAAAAGAAAAAGAAGCATCATCAATTACCTTGTGTGTACAATGAAAGCCTCACCCATAGCTGATGTACTCTCCTAAGCCTCAGCTTCTACCCTTCAATCTCCCTGGACTGACTATTCGGGTAGGCGGTATTTTGAGAAATATCTCCTATCCCAAGTCAGGAAGCATTCACATTCAGTGAAAAAGCAGTTTGGTAGTGCAGTGTCATGCTGAAACTCAAATACACGTTCTCTGATTAAGGGCCCCCTTATGTATCCTGAAGGGAAACTCTTGGGTGCTGGAGCCTTCTTCCCTCTGCTGGGGCAAGGGTCCAACATCTCTTGCTTTGGGAGATGCAGGGCACTGTTGGGTCTTGGAGTCTGCTGATCACATACGCCCGGCCACTCTCTTCTGCTCTTCCAAACTCATTTAAATAGAGTTTCTGTATATTCATTTGCTCTGTAGGTGCCAGCAGAATATCAGAGTGCAGGGGATGAAAACTATGAAGATATCTATCTCCTCTCCTTTCAACTCTGTACCAGGTGGTGCCTAACTTTGCTCGTTTAAACACTCTCAGTACACCGTCTGCTTCATGCCTGGACCTTGACTCATGCAGGGGGTGGGGGTTAATAATTGAACTTGGGTCTAAAAGAGTCCTGGACTCTCTCCCTTTCTCTGGTTTTACTACAGCTTGAAATCCTTATGAACACACAAATCTGAATATATCATTGCTCTGCTTTCAAAATTTAGTGTCAGAGGAAGGACAGTGGTTAAGGCACTTGCCTGGCATGCAGTGGGCTTGGGACCAATCCCCAGCAGTGCCTGTGGTCCCCCAAAATCCACTAGGAGCACAGCAAGGTGGCAGTTCCTAAGGTGGACCCCTTACCTCAAAGAAAGAAATATAGGACTAGTGGGGGCCGGGGGGAAACTGGGGACACTGGGAAGTGTACACTGGTGGAGGGACGGGTGTTGGAACACCTTATGATTGAAATCTAATCATGAACAGTTTTGTAAGGGTCTATCTCACAACGATTCAATTAAAAAATTTTTTAAAAGAAAAGAAAAGAAATGCAGGCCTAGAGAGCTAGTACGGCAGGTAGGGCATATTATCTTGCACGTGCCTCACCCCGATTCATTCCTTGGCACCCCCTGAGCCTCACCAGGAGTAAGTTAGATAAAGCCCTCCAAAAAATAAATCAAAATAAAGCTTCAGTCGCCCCCTATCATACCCAGCGTCACTCCCCAGGCTAAGCTGCAGCCAGAGTGAACTGCTTTCACTTCCTCCTCTACATGCTCTCTTCCTCCAAGCCTCTGCACAGAGGGCGCCTTCTTCCTGGAAAGGCCTCCCCGCTCCCAGTCTCATTATCAGACATCATCTCGAGTGTCAGTCACCGCAGACAGTCTTCCAGAAACTGACTCCTATTGCTTAGAAACAATTGCGTGTGGCCAGCTGCTTTGAGTCATCATCGTAAGTAAATGGCACGCAACACTCCATCCTACTACTGCTGTGTGCTTTCTTAGCTCTGTCCTCAGCAGGGAGTAGATATCAGGTAGGTCCTTAATAAACTGGGCAGTTCCTAAATGTTATTGAAAAAGCTTCTGGAACCGGTCGGGATGGGAGATGTGTGCTGAAAGTAAAGGACCAGACATGATAACCTCTCAGTGTCTGTATTGCAAACCATAATGCCCAAAAGTAGAGAGAGAGAGAGAGAGTATGGGGAATATTGTCTGCTATGGAGGCAGGAGGAGGGTGGGAAAGGGGGGATATACTGGGGATATTGGTGGTGGGTAATGTGCACTGGTGGAAGGATGGGTGTTTGATCATTGTGTGATTGTAGCCCAAACATGGAAGCTTGTAATTATCTCACGATGATTCAATAAAATTTAAAAAAAAAAAGCTTGATTCCAACTCCTTCCTTAGCCTCTGTTCTTTCTCTTTTAATTAATGACAAAAATCGGGGACTTTTTTTATTTTTACTCACCCACTCTTATGACTCCCTTCGGATTTTTCTTCCCAGACCATTTGGATCTTATTTCATTCTTGGCCAAAGGTCTCTCTCTCTCTCTCTCTCTCTCTCTCTCTCTCTCTCTCTTTCTCTCTCTCCCCTTCTCCTCTTGTATGCCCATTAGATGTTCTTCAGATTAATTCATTTTCATCATTGTTTAAATTCAATCATAAGCTGTCACTGTTGTCACTGTCTCTGTCATCCCATTGTTTGTCGATTTACTAAAGCAGGCGCCAGTAAAGCCTCTATTCATCCCAGCTCTGAGATTTTAACAACTTCTTCTTACTCATCTTTCCCAACGATTGGAGGCTCTTTCAGGGTCAGGGAAATGAGACCTGTTAAAGTTACTGGTTTTGGCATATTGAATACGCCACGGGGAGCTTGCCAGGCTCTGCCCATGTGGGCAGGATACTCTCGATAGCTTGTCGGGCTCTCTGAGAGGCATATAGATATATAGATATATATATGAAAATATAAGCAATCATAAGCAAATCTCTAAATCCCAAACATTGTCCCTTGTAACATTTCACCCCTTCTTTCTTTGTTTGGCGGCCACACCCATCTACATTCAGGCTCTGTGGGCAGAGCTCATGTGTAGCAGAATCAAATGCAGGTATCAGGGGTTCAAACTGGGACCCATTGGGTGCAAGGCAAGTGTCTGACTCATTGTGCTATCTCTCTGGCCCTCTTTCCTCCTCTCCCTGGATGACTTGCAGACAATTCCTATAAAGATGGTTCATCTCTTTCCTTCCCTGCCCTCCTCCTCACTCCAAAGCTCATCTATCCATGTCATTGTCCATCTTATTAACCTCAAATTCCCCTGAACTCTTCCCACTGCTTTTCCCCTTTGTCCTATTGGGCAACAAGCTTATCTATTGCAAGTCCACCGACCCTATCCCAAACTCCTAAACTCAGACTTCGGGTCTTCATAGTCTTTCCACCTGGAAGACTCTTCCTTCTTCCCGCCCTACCCCCCAACAATCTTACTTATTCTTTAAAATTCAGATCACTGCGTAACTTCAATTAACTTCAATTTTCTCCTAATTAACTCCTTGCTTCGTTTTTGTTTATAAAGACAGACTGTCTCTATATGTCACTCCACGCAGTCATTAGAGTCTTAAAGGTAAGTGTGGCTTTTGTTTTATCAGTGGGTTTAGCCAAGCGACTAACATTTTAGGTAATTAAAAATATTTTAGGCCAGTTGGCCAAGAATCACCAGAAAGATAACCAGGTTTCCTGAGCACCAATTGGGAGTACCCTTCCCCCCCCAAAAAAAAACATATTTTAGGGACACGAGATGGGATAGAGGGCTGAGGCACTGCTTTGTAAACAGGAAACCCCCATTCTGTCCCTAGCATAGCGTGGTCTTTTAACATTTGTAGCCCAGGGGTGCATTGCAGAGTGAGGTCCAAGTTATAAAAAGAAAAGTTCTTCTATGAATATGTATATGAGCATGTGAAATGAGCGAACTGGAAAAAAGAATCTCTTCAACCAAACACCCATCAGTTAGTATTTTAACCTGTCCCGATCTCTTGGAACCTGGATGACGGGGATTAGATGAAGTGCATCAGAAGAGAAGGCGCCCGGCAGGGCAGTCCAGCCAGCCGGGCAGGCCCATGCACACTTCAGACTCTCTCCCGCGCCTACCCGCGCTCTCCTTTGCTAGTTGTAGGTGCGTAGATTTCGAGTACCTGGCAGAAGAAACGTGTTTTCAGGATTGCAACTCAGAAACAGCGTGGAGATTTGGAGGAACCCGATTCACCCAAGACTTTCAAGCCCAAGACTTTCAAACCCAAGGCTCCCAGGCGATCACGGAACGGGAGGAGGAGAAAGGAGGCGGAGAATAAAAAAATTTTAAAAAAATAATAAAAAAAAAAGGACTGCCAGAAAGGCCGGGAGGAAGGAAGCCAGCGCAGCGCCTTTGGGGTCGAAGCGTCTTATTTTAACCCGGGAGGCGTGACGGCCGCGCTGCTGCGCGGGTCGGTTTCTCCGCGCCGCGCCCGCCCTCCGGGTTCCGCCCCGCTGCAGTGCCGGTGGCGGCCGCTGGGGGCGCGCGGAGGCAGCGGCGGCTCGCGGCGGGGCTGCTGCTCCCGGCTCGAGCGGACGCGCGGCGGCGGCGGCAGCGGCGGCGGCTCGCGGGGCCGCGGCGGCGCTGGGCAGCGCGCGGACGCCCCCCGGCCCGGCGAGCTGCGGCGCGAGCGCTCCCCGCGGGCGGCCGGGGGCGGCGCGGCGGCGCCCGCGCGGCGGCGGGAGGCGGCGGCCCCGGCCCCGGGCGGCCCGCGGCGCCCCCCAGCCGCGCCCCCGCGCGCCGCTCGCGGCCCGGGCCATGGGGCTGGGCGGGCCCGGGGTCCGGCCGAGCTGAAGCGGCGGCGCCGGCCCGCGCCCCCGGCTCGCGGGCGTCTGGCCGTCGCGATGATGAAGAAGAAGAAGTTCAAGTTCAAGGTGGACTTCGAGCTCGAGGAGCTCTCCTCGGTGCCCTTCGTCAACGGGGTGCTCTTCTGCAAGATGCGGCTGCTGGACGGCGGCAGCTTCACGGCCGAGTCCCCCAGGTACCGCGCCCGCAGGGACCCGGGGCGACGTGGAGGCGACCCCCCTCCCCGGGGACCCCCATCCCCTGCACGCGATCAGCCCGGAGCTGATTGATTGATTGATCCGGCCCCCGCGCCTGGCAGATGGGTTCCAGCTGGGCCCCCGGGGCTCCCGCCCTCCCCGCGCGCGCGGACGCTTCTCCCGGCAGCATCTGGCGCTTCCCCCCGAAATTCTCCAAGAACGGCCGCCGGGGAGGGGGCTGCTTCTGGTTTCCCTCCGAGGCGTGTCCATGTCCGTCGCATGCAAAATGGAACTTGGGCTGCGGCTGGAAGCACGGACAGAGAGAAGCCCGAGGCGCCCGAGTGCCGAGCGCGGCCGGGGCGCAGGCGGACCCGCGCCTCCTCCCGGCTTGGGGGGCGTGGGGTGGGGGTGGGGGGTTCTGGCCTGCAGGGCCGTGGCCGGGGTCGCCCCTCCAGGCTGGACGTTGGCGAGCCTGCGCCGCGCTGCACGGGAGAGCTGAGCCCCCGGCGCGGCTCACGCCGAATTACTCATCTGGAAGTGGCCGCTGCTGGGTCTCTGTCGGCGGGACGCGGCACCTGGAGCAGAGCCCGGGCCCTGCCCTGGTATTTTTTTTTTTTTTTTTTGAAATGAGCCCCTGGGCTCTCCCAGGCGGGCCCTTGGCAGGCTGCAGAATGAAGTCAGGAGTGCTCGGACTCCTTGAGTAATTTCAGGGTTATTCTTAGGCTGACGGATTTATCTGGTGGTTGTTTTTTTTTTTTTCAATTTAAATTGTATTTTAATTTTATTTGGGGGCTTAGGGATGCCACAGCGGCTAGTGCTCCAGTGTCCCTTGGACCCTGCTGCTTACGGGGAACCGTGGGGTGATCCTAACCGGGTATGCAGCGTGCAAGGCGAACGCCTTCCCACACTGCACTCATACTCCAGCTCCCACTAAGTGCTCTTCAAGAAAATTGAACTATTTTTTGTCGGTTTTAGTTTGGGGTCCACACCCTGTTGTGCAGGCTCCGGGATCACTGCTGGCCGCACTCGGGGCTATATGGGGTGTCAGGATGAACCCTCATTGGGCACTGCAAGCTCCCTGCCCGCAGAATCGGACCAGTCCCCAACCTTTTCTTAAAAAAGGAGAGCTCTCCTAGAGAAATATTAATGATTTGGTGTGAGGTGGGGAGGGCACAGTGTGGTGGTGTTTCTTTTAGAAGGTTGTCTAATTGTACCCCTAAAACATATACCTCCTTGTAGAACAGCATTATGTCAATGTGGTGTATGCTTGCAACCCTAACAGCTTTTCCACGGTAAATAAAGTGGGCTTTAGAAAGCCCCTGAAATCCAGGAGGGAAGGGCTAACAGTTAATGGTGATTTTGCCAACATTTAGGGTTCCTTTTGGGGAGGCCACACCCAGCAGCGCTCAGGGATCTCTCCTGACAGGCCCTGGAGACCCATATGAGGTGTCGGGGATTCGACCCAGGTCACCCCATGGAAATCTAGTACCCTACCTACTGTACTATCTCTCTGCACCCAGTTTTTAACCTGAATTTTTTTCTTTTACCTACCATTCCTATTAATGTAAAGAAAGTCATGTTAAAAGAAGCTGTGGTATTGGGGCTAGAAGTCTGGCTTGGCAGTATTAAAGCAGGGAACCATATATACTTAGCTCAAGCACCATTGAATCTCAGGATTTTTTTTAAATGCACCTTCAAGAATAGTTTTAAAATGTAAATTGAGGGTAGTAGTGCACTCATGTGGATATTGAGCGGATTTGTTATGCAGATTTGTTTTATATTTATTATCCACAAATATAAAATTTGTTGTATTTTTCTTAACTCACCGGTCAGTGGATGATGGCACTGAAAACAGTGCAGCAAATACTGTAGTGGCAGCTGAAAGTAGGTGCTGAAAACTGAAAACCCTTGGATGTCCTGCAGGTTCAAGTGACAGGGTTGCATCGACCCCACTGCATGCAAACCTGCTCTCCTGGGCCAGTGGTGACACCTGCTGGTGGCTTCGCTGCCACCTACCTACTCCCTCTGGTTGTTGGTTTGGCATGCTTCACGCTAAATTACTCAGTGTTTACAGACCAGGTCTTGTAGTTTAGATCCTTTACGTATGTTGGTTAATTTTTCGAGGAAGTCTTGGAAGTCGGGAGTCCCATTTTGTGGGCGAGTAAACTGAGACCCAGAAAAGTATAACCAACTTTCCCAAGATCCCTACACCTGATGAGTGAAGTGCTGAGATTCTTAGATAAGTCTAACTTCAGATGTCAGGTAGAGGAGGAAGTTGTGAACCAAACTCAGTAAGGCACTTTCTAATGTTTTTAACAAGCAAAGGAGAATCATTTTATCTGCGCTCTGCAAGAGTTAGGCAGGAGAATGCAGAGTGATTTGACTTTAGTCAAGGTCACTAGGTTGAATAGTGCTCTTGGGGCCAGAGAGAGAATGCAGAGGTTAAAGTGCTTGCCTTGCACGTGGCTGACCCTGGTTTTATCCCTAGACGCCATGTGGTTCCCTGAGCATTGCTGGTAGTGATCCTTGAGCACAGAGTCAGGAGTAAGTCCACAGCACCGCTGGTTGTAGCCCTAGAATAAAACAGTTTTAAAAAGAAGAGTGCTCTTGAGTATGTACGTGTATGTGTGTATTTGCGCCTAAGGCCTAGCTTTTACCAGTAGTCTAACCTATAGGTCATTGAGTCTCTGAAAAGTTTCATCCACAAACTAGAAGCCATCATTAATATGAAGTTGTTGTTAGAATTTTATTGGTTTGGGGGGAGTTTGTTTTTGACTTGGGGGCTCACCCCGTAGTGCTGAGGAGTAAGTTGGTGGTACTGGGGGAACTCTTATGTGCTGTCAGGATTGAGGCAGTCTCTCCCACCTACAAAGGATGAGTTAGGCCCATTGAGCTCTCTCTGGCCCTGTTGTAATAATGGATTAATAGGATCTTCCCCAAGCACGAAACAAAGCTTTGGCACTCAGTTGCCATTTAAAGAGAAAGCAAGCAACTTATCCAGAGGGATTGTTTCCTTTAGATACTGTCCTTAATTCCTTTATCCAGCCAACTACAAAAGAAATATTTGTTGATTTAAGAAAGGTATCAGGAAAAAGAAAATCTGAGGTGCCTTAAGATGTGAATATGCCATTTTAAAATGACACAAAGTTTCACTTTAGGGTGCAGATATTGTGTCTCTAAATGTTAGGTTTTTGATTTTAGAGATAAACTTTGCGTTTCTTCTGTAGTTAATGTGCTGTAGTATTTCTCCCATTTAAAATACAAAGAGAACTCTACATACAGAAGAGGGTTAAGGTAGCAGGCCATGAGCCTACATAAAGTAGTATTTATTTTGATAGAATAAAGCCTAGAAGTACATAGAAATTATAAATATACATGTCTCTGTACCAAAAATTAAAGAGAGATCATTTTTTACCAAATATTAATTGAATGCTTGGCAGGTATATAAGGACTGCCCGCCAGCTTTGCCAACTCTGCCAAGAGCTATAAGAAGTTAAAAAAAAAAAAAAGGCCCAGAGGGAATGACCTCTGTTTAATGAAATTAGAGGTATAATTGCTTGACAATAAGAGACAGTATGATATAGTGTTTAATCAATGGGTCAGGCAGTATGTCAGTGTTGTTGAAATTCTGCAAGAAAAAAAAGGTTTATTGGGCTGGAGAGATAGCACAGGGGCTAAAGCACTTGTCTTGCACACAGCCAATCCCGTTTCGATCCCTGGCACTTCTTATGGTTCCCCAAGCACTGCCAGGAGTAATCCCTGAGCACAGAGCCAGGAGCAATTGTGAGCACCACCAGGTGTGGGGCACCCTGCCTCCAAAAAAAAAATTACTTACTAATGGTTACTGGAAGCCACATTAGCGTTTTCAGCTGAACTAGCTGGGAGAAGGAATTTGCATTGACAAGAAAGGGAGTGGGAGGAGAGCCTGAGCAAGTCATCCGGAGGACTCGGTGCTCCATCAGCCAGATTGGCTGCAGTTCACACTGAACAGAGCAGCAGATAAAGACTTGAAAGCTTTTGAAGAGAATTTGCTTTCCACTGCTCATAGGATAATAATGCAATCTGAGATTGTTGCACGGTTATTAGATGATTAGAGTGGCAATTAAACTGGCTGGCGGGGTGATGCTATTTGGATTCAAGATATGAGATAAGGAGACAAATTAGGAGGCTATTAAAAATAAGCTGAATGCAGAGGTTTCTCAGGTAAGTGACTGATGAAATGATAATGTCATCGATGGTCTCAGGGACATGACAGAGAGGTAAGTCAAGCTGGGAAGAAACTTTGTTCTGTTGAAGGGCGTGTAGTAGAATGTGGAGAAGAAGAGGTATGTTATGTTTACTATAAGGAGGAGATAGCCTGGTAAGCAGTTGGAAACATTATGGGTGTTGTTTGATGGAAGATTCTAGCCATTTCTAAGTAAACCTGCTTACTAAAAATATTTATCTAAAACGTCTTTACACTGTTCCACTTTGTAAAAATTGTTAGTGAAAATAAATGCTTCTCTTGTTTCTCCTGGAAAGATTTGTTCAGTGAAGGTGTTAGAAGAAAATAATCTAAAAATTAGAAGTAATTAAACTGTTGGAGTAGAAGGTTGGATTTGACATACGAGTCCAATAACCTGAAGTCAGGTTATTGCTGGTAAAATATTTTTGAAGACCTTTCAAAAATAGAAGACTAGAATTATCTAAATCTTTGCTGGGTACTCTTCTCTTTGTGAAAGCATTAAGATGGCTTTTGAGATTTCACATGAACTTGTAGCAAAATGCCATGTGAGTTCAGGGAGTGTCCAGGAAACTAATGAGCACATCTGTATATTGGATCAGTTACTTGGTAAACAAGCCAAAGGGATATTTTTTCTCTTTGGCCAAAGTACACCCTCATGTTTTCAGAATTTTAATTCCCTGCACATTGTGTATTTCTTTTCACTAATATTTTCCTTATTGCAAAAGTAATGTAGATTTCTGTGGAAAACTTAGAAAACAAAAGAAAAACAACTGC